GCCGGGGTGCAGCAGCTCTGCCGGCTCTGCCAGGCTGAACTCCACTCCCCCAGCCACCATCTCAAAGTCCAGCAGCTGCTGGTTCTCCACGCCGCCGGGGTAGAGGCGCGGGGGCAGCCGGGACGTGCTGTCCAGCAGAGGCGTCCAGAAGGCCCAGGAGGCCAGCAGGCTCTCCGTGGTGATGAAGAAATCCTTCCTGCCGTGGTAGATGTGGGAGATGAGGACGGAATAGGCATCCCTCTCCTTGACAGGGCTGTACATGTAGAAATCAGACAGTGGCTGCCCAAAGATGTGCAGGTCTGAGCGAGCTCCTGCTTCCTTCCAGCTGTCCTTGGGCATGGCAGGCTGGAAGAGGTTCCTGCTCACCAGCACCGCGGGGGTGTTGAGAGCGCCATGCCCAAAGTAGAAGATGATCTGCTTGGGTTTGCACTGGCTGTGCCCTGCGTCCCTCAGCGTGCCACTCTGGGGGCAGTAGGCCCTGTTCCTGAAGAGCACGCGGGCATAGCCCACCCGCTCATCCAGAGCCTTCCCCGAGGTGAGCAGGAACGGGACCCCTTCCCAGCGCAGGCTGTGGCTGTGGATCAGCACCCCTGCAACGACAGACACCCCAGCACACCTCAACAGGCACCCCTGGGATCTCCATCACTGCCCACCACTGCCCTCCTCAGCTCCCTTGGTACCACTGTGTCTCTAGCTCCCCATCAGCCCTTCCACGGCTTCACTGCCTGCCCAGAACTCCATGATCTTTATGGTCCCTCCCCACCCAGGCCATTCATGATTCTCACTCCCTCCCAGCTATCCCACTTGTTCAGCCTCCTTTCATCTCGCAGGAAACCAGTTTGTGAGCATGAGCATCATTTAGACAATTCTCTTCATGTTCACAGCATGGCTGAAGATAGTCTTGTGGTTCACTCACCACAGAGAGCAAAGCTTTACCCCTCAACTGAAGTTTATGAGAAGGCAAAGGAGTTTAGAGGCCACTTCTAAAAACAGTGCAGAGATTTTATAATAATGGGCCTTAACCCTTACACTTCCCATTCCCTGGATCCCTGGTGAACTGACACAACAAGAGCATTATCTTGTCCAGTTCCCACATCAGGGGATGCCTGGGCACATCCCTGAGTGAGCAGCAAGCCCCAGAGCCATGGGGCTGGTATTGCAGGGCTCACAGCTCTCGCTGCTCCCCTGGCCCAAAGCCTCACCTGCAAAGGTCGGCGTGGTGCTGACGTGGCCCCGAGCCTCGGGCAGCTCCTCCTGCACCTGGCTGTCGTAGGCCTGGTACTGTCCCAGCACAGCACTGCTCCTCTGCAGCCCCCACAGGGCCTGGAAGGTCTGCAGCTTGTGCTGCACCACCTCCTGGGCGCTGCTGACGTTGGCAGGGAGCTCCATGATGAGGAACAGGAGGGCCTCGGTGAGGTGGTTCTGCAGCACGTCCCGGATCACCCCGTACTGCTCGTAGAAGCTGGTGCGCCCTGGGCATGTGGGGAAGGCAAAATGCTGCTCAGGGGACCTGGTTCCCTTCTGCATCTCACTGTGGGGCCGGGGACAGCAAGCTCCAAGCTCCTCTCTCCCCACCCAGCAATTAACCTGAGGCAATCAAGCTCAGGGAATGGGTGTCCTGTCACGGGATGTGTGCAGGGTCTGGCTGGACAGAGCTTTGGGCAACCTGTCCTAGTGGAAGTGGTCACTGCTTGTAGCAGGACGAGATGGTTTTCCTGTCCTCAGAAGGCTCTGGCTGAGCCATACCCTTGGGAGACAAAATTTCGTGCACAGAGCCACGCTCGCCTTTCCCTGCCTGGCCTGTCATGCAGGTGGGGACAGTGGGAAAAGGACAGAGCACTGCAGCAGTGACTCAAGGCTGTGTGTCACCAGCAGCAGGCTGCATCACCACCACAGGCTTCCCCCATGACTGATCATTCACCTCCCTCCCCAATCCAAAGGCACATTCAGCAATGGGATTGGTGCTGCAGACCTGCTGGGAGCCAGGCTGCCAGCTAAAGCTGCACAGGGGAAAACAGACATCAAGTGACAAATGACATCAAAAGACATCAAATGACAAATGACAAATGACAAAGGTGTTCAGAGAGGGGGGCACAGGGAGCAGCCGGGGCTGTGCAAAGACAATGCTGCTCTCCCTAAATCTCTCTGCAGTGCACCTCTCTCCCACAAACAGGCTCTGGGCTGCCAAACCAAAGATCACCAGCCCAGGTTTGACAGAACTGCATTAGCTGAGCCTGTGGAGGCTGAGGGAGGGAGGCAGAGCTGAAGGGAGTGGGGAAGCAGCCCTGCTGGTGCAGCAGCCTGGGCACCTGCCTGGCCAGGAGTGCTGCAGGCAGAGCCCAGCCCGGGAGCTTTGTGCTGAGCACTGCAGAGGGGATGCTGCAGCATTGCAGCAGTGCAGCCGTGCCCTTCAGCAGGAGCTGCCTCTGTCTGGGACTGTCCCTCTGCAGTGCCTCCTGCCACAGAGAGGAGGGCACGGACACAGGCACACAAACCCAGACTGGCCCAGGGACTGGAACACCCAGGCAGGAGATGCACGAGCACCTCCCAAAGAGCAGCACAAAGGCACACTGGGGGTGAGCCTGGGGGCTGCCAGGACAGCAGGACAGCTGGAGTGGCCTTAGACTGCACCAATTCCCAGTCTAGGACTGTTTACCAAGAACTGGGACAGAAAGGTCAGCAATGCCCCCAGAGCTCTGCAGCAGAAAAAACTGGGGGGTTCTGCCCCTGCTTCCAGATGAATTACAAATGGAATTTTTCCTTAGAGGCAGCAACTCTACCTGGAAGTGAGTCAGTCTCCAGCATAGGAAGGGTGGGACAGTCCCTCTCTGTTTCCCCACACCATTCACTTGCTCCTTTTGTATTTCTGTACCAGCACCACCTCAAGGGCCCCCTCCCCGTTATTGAGGAGCCTGCCAGCTCTCACTCATCCTGCACACCCTGCACACTGCCTCACCAACCTTTAGCATCCACAGTCTCCTTCAAGACAACCTCCACTCTTTCCACATGGTGCCGGTTCCAAATGGGGTCCAGAAACTGTCGGTTCTGATCCCGAAAGGGCAGGATATGGGCCACAGCCTGTGAGGGCAAAATCCAAAGACCCAACAAGAACTCAGCAGGTTCCCAGAGCGCCTCTGCCTCCCTGTCCCACGCAGCAGACAGGCAGCAGAGCAGGTCAGAGAAGAGAAAAGCAGCAGGAGAGGCTGCAGTGATGCACAGCAAGGTCACCAGTGGATGTCCAGAGCAGACATTAAAGGTCCTTCTGAGGCATTTTGAGGTTTCATGTGAAAAGGCTGAACTACAAACTGCAGAGCACTCAGTTTATATCTGTCAGAGGACAAAGGGCTGAGTCAGATCATCCTGGGACTAATGTAAGGTTCCAAAGTGCTGAAATACATCACTTCAGATGCTTACACCACTAAAGCCATCTGCTCTTTTAATAAAATTTAAAAAATAAAATAAAATAAAAATAAACATTTAAAATAAAATAAAATAAGCCCCCAAAATAAAACAGAAGAAATGCCCCCTCTCAGTGGAGATGCTCTCCACAGCTGGACATGCAACTTCTGAGTAAAACCTGGCCACCTTTCCATGGCTGGAACAGGCTGCTTTAAAGTGTGGCATCACATCCCTGAGAAGCAAGGATGGCATGTCCTTGAACAGCCTCCCTCTGGGACAGTGCAGCTCCACACCCTGAGCTGTACCTGCAGCAGACAGCCCTGCAGGGCAGGGAGAAACCTTCCCTAAGCATCCCCAGAACTGACATCCCATCAGCTCCTTATCATATCAAATGGAGGAGCGCTTCCAGAAGCCATGGCTAAGCAGAGAGGCCTGTGTGGAATGAGATGTGGAGCTGGGAGAGGACAGGTGCTGCTCACTCAGCGAAACCAAACCCTGACCTTGGCGAGGAGGCCAGAGGAGCTCTGCATCTCTGCTCCAGGCACAGAGCCCAGCCCTGCTCTGCAGAAGGGACCCTCACCACCCCAACAGGAGGAACCCTGCTTTGCTCTGCACACTTCCCCTGCCCCCCCAGGACAGAGAAACAGGATTCCAGGAGCAAGTGGAGGCTCAGCATGGATTTGGGAGGGGAACAGCGCTCTCCCCAGACGCAGAACCGACCATGAGGAGCCCCTGGGGCTGGTGGGGGCTGCTCACCTGCTTGCCCAGGTAATGGTCCACTCGGTACATCTCCTCCTCCCTGAAGAAGCCTGCCAGCTGTGCAGCCAGCTGCTGTGCCGAGGGCAGGTCGTGGCCAAAGGGCTTTTCCAGCACCACGCGCAGCCAGGCCCCGGCGCGCGGCCGGCAGCTGCCGTTGATGTGCCCCGCGATCTCCGTGTAGGCAAAGGGCGGCACGGAGAAGTAGAAGATCCTGCCAGCCTCCTCCAGCCCCTCCTGGCTGAGCAGGGTCTCGATCTCCCTGTTCAGAGCTGTGTAATTCTCGGCAGTTTTCAGCTGGTGGTACTGGCTGAGCTTCAGGAACTGGTCCTTGAGCACGGCGCAGCGGTCGGGAGGCTCGTCGGGGGGACAGGACAGCTTCTTCAGCACGTCAAACATCAGCCTCTGCCCCGGCTCCAGAGCTGCCAGGGCCCCCCCGTGGAACGTGAAGCTGTGGCCACTGCTCACTTGGTCCCTGTAGAGCTGGAACAGACCCTGCCACAAATACTTCTTGGCCAAATCCCCCGTGGCTCCTAGCAGGATCACGGAGATGTGGCCCTGGGAGGCTCCAGCTGGGGGTGGCAGGGCTCCCACCAACAGCACCGTGCACAGGACCCTTCCCAGCATCGTGGGGAGAAGAGGCAGAGCCAGGAACACTGGAGGCCAGGAATAAAAACACAAATCAATCCGTGTTGTAGTGCTGCAAAACACAACACAAGGTACCTGCTTTCCCCAGAGAGCCAGGGGTCTCTGTCTGCATCCTCCACCCAACAGCCTCTCCTCCCCTCCATGATCTGAATCAAGGCAGTAATTTGGGCTCCTGACAAACCTGCAGCCTCCCTCTGCACACCAGAAGTGAAGGCAGTGTGTGCTGCAGGTCCTTGGGCAGCACATGCACTGCTCCCACAGCTGGGGGGTGTCAGTGCCCCTGCACAGGGAAACAAACCCATTTCCATCCAAATCAGGCTGGCCACAAAGGAGCACACGTGCTGCACCCTGAGCACACGTGCCTGCACCCTGAATCCTGCTGGGGACTGTGCACAAACACTGCTGGGCTGCCTTGGCATGGCTTCATGTCAATATTGTCACAGCAGGGACAAACACCACCACTGGCAGCCCCAGGCTCTTCTTCCACTTGTGGCTCCTGTGCCCCACCACTGAACTGGGTCTGATGTCTGCTGGCAGACTGGGGTGATAAAACAGCTCTGGGGAAGAAGTTCAGTCCTCAGACTGATGTGAGCCAGTCCAGGTGCTACCCCATGGTGCTGTGTCTGTGGCCAGGTGACAACCTGGGCTTTGTGCTCTGCCTCCTGCAACCTTCACTATGGAAGAGCAGGTCCTGTTCTGGCCCTCTCTACTCAGTGCCCATTCAAACCACTGCAGCCAGGCCAAAAAGTCCCTGTGTTCACACTCATTTATTCAAAATAAAGTTGTTTTTAAGAGAAAGGACACATTTAGCACTTAAACTGAGAAACACAGCAATGACTTTGCATCTCAAGAGATGTAATGTCACTGAAGAGAGGTTTAGTCACTCCTGTACGTGTGACTAAACCACTGTGCTGCTCTCATTACAGCATGTATTATTTCAGCAGCTCTCTCACTGGCTATCTCCTTCCCTTAATGTCATTTATAAGCTGTGTGTGTGGTTTAGGAGCAGAGCCTTCACAGCACACAATGTTATTAACTTCTTTAAAAACTTTGAGCTCTGGTCAATAAATGGTGATAACTAAATAACCACAAGGAACATCTGGATATCTCTCCCTGTCTGCAGCTTGAACTGCTCTGCAGAAATCTCGTGTTTCTCTCCAGCAGACTCACCTGTAACACAGGAGCTCTAGAGACCCCAAAAGCAGCTGGAGATTTTCCTCCTGCCCAGCCTCTCCCAGTGCAGATGCTGCTCCTCCTGTGTCTCTGTGTGTCTCTGCTCAGTGCTCAGGTGTGCAGCACAGGTAAGGCAGGTTGTTCCCTTCCTGGAAAACGGGAGGAAAGACCCAATTAGAACAGAGAAAAACCACAAGTGCCTGAGCCAGCAATGTCCCAGCACATCCCTGTTCACAGTCCTGCCCTGCTGGCTGTGCTGAAGCCTTTGGCTGTTTGTGAGCAGGTAAAACACAGGCACGGGTGGCAATTCCTGCTCCCAGGCAGTTACACGGAGCTGAAATGCAGCCTGGAAGTTTAACTCCTCCCTGCCCAGCCCTCTGCCGTGGCTGTGTCCCCTCCCTCCCTCCTCTCCTGCTCTCTGAGCTCCCTGGACCCACTGACAGAACCCAGCCTGCAGCACTGGCAGCTGCCAAGGGGCACTGCTGAGGCTCTGCCTGCAGAATAAATGATTCTCTGCTTCCCCCTCCCCTGCTGCGGGGTTATAACCCAGATGCCAAAGTTCCTCAGTGCAATAAATGGGTATTTACACTTCCTGAGCAACCTTTGTTCCAGGAACCAGAGGCACTGACACCCTGGCAGCCCTGCACAGTGAGGAATGGGATGGGTCTGGGTGGGCCATGCTGCCCCAGACCCACAGAAAAAAGGGAATTAGGCAGGGAACTTCCCGGCAGATTCAGCCACAGTCACGTGTGTTCCCAAACCAAAGGCAGTTTCACAACCCTCCCAATTGCAAAATATTGAGCTACACTGCACAGAATAAAGTAAACCCAGCAGTGTTTACTGCTTTCATATCAGCTAAGCACCACTGCTCCCATTAAAAAATAATACTCCAAAAATCCCCGAGCCAGGCAGAACAAAGTTACTCAGTCAGGCTTCAGGAGAAGCCTCCTCGGCCTGATCCACATAAAACACGCAGGAGCTTGGCCCAGCAGCCAGGCTGGGCACTCCCCTGCACAGCCACTGCAGCTCCCGTTCACAGGAGCTCACTCCAGGTCTCTATCAAAAAATGCAAAAGGTATTTTTGTTACTCTTGTATCCCCCCTGAAAAATAATCACCAGGTGCATGGCCAGAAGAGCTGGACTTTGATGGTCCTTGGGGGTCCCTTGCAGCTGAGGATATTCTGTGATTCCATGGAAAATGCAGCATGGCCTGGGGGTCTCACAGGCCTCTGCACATGAAGGAAAGGGCTCTGGGATTCTCTGAGACCCCACTGGTGTTCTGTACTGCAAACAGCAGGGCAGCAATGAGCTCACCATCAGCTGCTGCAGAAGCCAAGGCTTAGTGAGGAGACTCACATTAAAAGCAGGATGAGAGGTGCAGGAATTCGTGTTTGGCCCTTCTGGCTCTGACTCAGGCTCACTCCGTGTGTTCTGGCCCCAGCATCGTGACAGCAGCCGTTTCCAAAACCCTGGAAAAGCAGGACAGGGGACTGTGAGGAACCCAGCCTGGTGTGTGGGCAGCACATGGAACGCGGGGATGAGATCAGGGGTGGCAGGGCTGAGCCCACCTGTGACAGGGATGAACCCACCTGTGACAGGGATGAGCTCAG